CCTCTCTATCACTGCAGAGCCAGTGCCAAGGCCAGGGATGGAGGCAGTTTGGGAAAGCTGCTTGTGACCCAGCCCGTTGATAAGGGCCAGCTCTTTATCCTTGATTTCCTGAAGTTTGTATTGTGACTAATGGTCTTGTTTATTCAAGGCCTCAGCTCCTACCTGTAGGAGCCCATGGCCCCCATTAGCACTCCAGTTCAGTAATAACCAGCAGATTTTCAAGCCTCCCTTTCCCAATCAACAAGCCAAAGCTGCTGTAATCAAGGAGGCCTTCAGCTCTGCAAAGTTAGTGACTTTGGGCTGAGTGTTGACTTTTCCTCTCTGGGGGTGCTTTAAGGCCCAGTCCTAACTGCTTCCCTCTTTTATGGCAGCTCTCCATACTCAACCGCCGAGGATACTCCCTTCCTGAAGCCCCTTGGGGTGTGCACCTGTCTGTGCCTTGTTCCCTCCCCCAGAGCTCCTGGGGGATGGTTCCTGAATATTTGAATTGAGCACCCTGTTTAACATCAAAATTCTGTGGCCTCCTTACATGATATTACACTTTTAGAATTTGTTGGCTTAAAGAGCACACAACACTGAGTTCGATAATAACTTTTTAGTTATTTTATCCATCATTCAAGAAAAGCAGCCAATGAGACTTGTTAATGACACAATGCAGGCCAGAAACTACCCCTCTTTATACCTGTTGGCTTCAGGGTGATGGAGTGAGGGTGGGAGCCTCTCTGGCCACCTAGAGTTGGAAGTCCCTGGGCCTACCATCCTCACTGGAACTTCTCTGAGGAGCCCACTGGATATCCTGACTTGTGACCCTGCCAAGGGACTTTGGTGTGCAAAATTTCTTAGATGCTGTAACACAAACAACCCAGACCCCTCAGCCTCAGAGCACCTTAGTCACCAGGGCAGTAGGTCCACCCTGATGGAGTTTTCTGAGGAGGGCATCCCTCCTTATAACCAGTGCATTGGTGAGAGGATTGGCAGGAGTAGGCTTGAGGCTGTCTTGAAGCTTCTCTGTATAGATCTCCAAGTGCTCCTCTTGGGAATGGCTGGTGGCCAAGTCACAAAGGCTCTCAACCCCTGACTAACTGTGACCCTGATCCTAACCATGTTATCTTCTCTCCACCTTTGAAGTGTGGGCCAGTAACCCCACTGGGGTTGGGGTAGGAAGTCTTACCTGATGAAATTCACATCCCACAACTTCTCCAGCTTGCTGGTGGTGTTAAGGAGCCTTAGGCAAGTTTTTCTTCAAACAGATGGATTTAGCTAAGCAAAATGGTCTTTTAGGGCTGGGGAGAGGGAGAAGAAGATGTAGGGTGAGGAAAGCAGGGGCTGCACCAGAACTCTGCAGATACTGGTGAAGTGGCTATGGGTCAATCACTTCCCTTTCTGAGGTTCAGTTTCTTATCTGTCAGAGATCCTATCTCAGCCCTGCCTACCTCACCTGCAGGTGAGCAGTAGGAATCAAAGGCAGTAAGAGAAGGGAAGTGTTTTCCAACATTAGAGAATGCCTTGCTCATTTCATTCTCTTTTTTTCTAGTAGGTGAGAGCCCTGACCAGGAACTCTCCAAGTTTTCCTTCCTGTGCAGGAGGTTGGTGTGGCAGAGACAGAGAAGGGCTGATTGTCCTTCTTATTCCCTGTCCCCAGATTCCACATGACTACTCCAACCATCTCCCCAACCTGTCTGGCCAAATGTCCAAGCTTTGGGTTTTCACACTAGTGGGCTTCCAGAGTGTGGGTTGTTGATGGGAAAGGAGCAAATTGTCCCTTGCTTTGAACAAACTGAACATGTGAAAATCTAGACTGTACTTGCCACAAGGCTTTGGATTTATTTGAAAAGCTCGTTTGCCTGGGACTTACAGAGGTTAAAGGGCCGCTATAAAAAGATATGGGACTTGCTTGCTTCTCCCTTTCTGGGCAGCACTGGGGAGGAGGAGGAGGGCAAGGCTCTAAGCTGAGCCCACCTGTCACTGAGCAGCCCTGTCAGCAGTGGCTGAGGAGACTTCAAGGGACTTGAATCAGAGATAATGCTAGAAGAGCCCCATGATAACTTGGATCCAGCTTGCTGCAGGCTGTTTGCACAGCAGCTGCTAAATGAAATCGGAAGTCACATCCAGAATCCCAGTCAGCTGGGATCCAGTGATCCAAGTTCAAACTCAGCACTTTCTGCTACTTTCCTCCACACAGATCTGAAGTCTCCCATTTCTCATTGAAAGTTGAAGCTGGAGGGAATTTGGGAGGTCACCATGGCCCAGCCCCTCTATAGAGACCTGAGGCTGAGAAGGGAGAGGCTTCCCTGAGGCCAGTGAGCTGATTTCAGTGGAGGAGATGTTTGCTTAAGAGCTTGTTGTATAAACAAGATTGCAGATGGATAAGCTGAGCAGAGTTAAGGGAACAAATTGTTTTTAGGGACTGGGCAAACCCAGAGTCTTAGTCTTATCTAGTCATGAGAGAAGACTTGCTCTTGGGAAACTTAACCTGTTGGGGTGTAGAGCTGCCCTGGTGCTCACCTGAGATGCAGCTGCATCACTGCTGGAAGTACCTCCAGGTTGCACATGGTCTTCAGGGTGTTATGACTTTACTACCAAATCAAAAAACCAAACTCACTGCCATCAAGTCAAACCTGTAGGATTTGGATGCGATGACTTTGATTTCTGCTAGAAGATTTGACAATGCTTTAAAATGCAGTTGGGGCAAATCTGGTTGGAGCTCTGCTTCCAAGCTTTCTCTCAAAAGATGGAAGTCAAAAATGGTGCTTCCCGGGAGCACCAGCCCAAGGCCTTCCCAGGAGCAGAAAGGGCAGGGCAGAGGTGCTGGGTGAGGAGGGTGAAGCCGAGATCTCTGCGTGCTCAGTGTCTTGAGCAGTCTGCCGGGGGCCTGAGACCATTGGGGTTTAGGGGGTGGTATCCACTCTTTGGCATGCTTGATGGACAGGATTCTTTGTTGCTGAAAGGGAGAGGTACCCTCCCTCGGGAATGGCTTGAGAGAAGAGAGGCTGGGAGCAGCTTCCAAGCTCTGTGGAGGCAGCACAGGTATTTTGAGCACCACCTGGGACAGGATAGAAAGGATATACCCTAGCTTTGGTACAGGGCCTGGGGAAGCATGGACAATGTCAGTTCATTGTAGGTGAGCATGATGGCTCAGCCAGGCCTTCTGGGGCATTTTTCTTGAGGGACGAGGAGGGAAGGTACATTTATGGTTTTGTACTTTCAAAGGAAGCTCAGTGTTATTTGTGGCCTCACAGTTTCTACACGTGTTTGATGCTTTTCTCTGAGACCCTGGATGTGGAGTCTCTACCTGGCCCAGGGCTGCTGTAGAATGCCAAAGGTTTTGCTTGTCTCTCTCTGCTCTGCTTCACTCAAGAATGAGGCCCCGTGGGCCTGTGGCCAGGAGCCAGCAAGGCCTCTCTGGGGCTGAGGAGGCCCTGTTCCCTTGGAGCCAAGCCTCGGGCGGGGACTGCCCCTGACGAGTCTCTGCAGAGAGTCCTGTGAGCTGGATCTCCTTGTTCCCTGATTCTCGTGAAACCCTATCCCCATCAATTCCATCCTTTTTCCAGACAGGTCTGCTCGCATTAGAGGCTGCTGTGTGCCTGAGAATCCCTCTTCTCCATGCTGAGCAGTTTCTGCTCCCCTCAGAAGAGCAGGAGCCACTGTTGGTGGGGCTCTGCCAGGCTCTGTGAGGTTCTTTGCATGCAAAACCTCATTTAATGTTTGCAGTAATCCTGAAATGTAGATGTTATTATTTTCTCCATTTGATGTAAAAGGTTTAGTAACTTTCCCAGGGCCACTCAACTAGATAGTGACAGAGCTCGGTGGGTCTCTAAAGCCCATGTGCTGAACAATGCTGTTCTGCTTCCTTTTTCTCTGTTCTGGCCTCTGGCGTCGGGGCCCTAGTGAGATTGCCTGTGTAACAGGATCATTTGGGTCAAAGTCTGGTTGTTGAACAGACTCGTATATGTATCCGTTTCTGCTACCTGCCTGCTAGGTCCTCCTTCTTCCACCTGCTTTCCTGGGGCCAGTGCTGTATTGGGGTGGTGGCAGGGGGAGTGTCTCCCAGCTGCTGCTCCCGTCCACACAGGGTTTCTGCACAGGCCTGGCCTTCTCAGCTGCCTGTTGTGTGCTCTGCATCTTCCCCAGCCCCCACTCCCTATTCCTGCCTCAGAAGCTGGTTATATATTTGTACTCTGGCACCTACAGCCTCTCAGAGCTGGGCCAGGCAGGCAGCATTCCTAGGCTGGCTCTTGGTAAACAGGTTCTACCCAGACTCACAGCCCATTTACCAACATGTCCTTAGTGCAAAGCCTCTTCTAGATCAGCCTCAGTCAGTCCCTGGGCCTGATGCATACTCTGTCCTCCTTCCCCAAGGAAGGGAATATTCTAACCAATAGGTCTGTACCTGATCTTTACTGTGGATAAGGAGACAGGCTGGATGTGGGAAGGAGCATTATGGCCAGACATAGGACTGCCTGGTGTGGGTAGATCTGTCTCAGGACAGACAGTTCACCCCTGTGTCCATCCCTGACCTTCCTCTGGGACCCTTGGTGCCCGGCACACCTAGAGGCTGCCTCTCTGGGTCTAGCCATTATGGGATTGTACCTGGAGGCTCTGAAAGCCCCTCAGTAGGACAGGGTTAGCAATCTTGGACTCTGAAGTACCTGGCTGTTGGCCCACAAGACATGATTCTCAGTGTAGGACGCTGATGGGGGCCCATGGGGACTACAGCCTGTGCTCCTAGTTTCTTCTCTTTGCCCTTTGAAGAGGTCTGAGGTCCTCATCAGACTGAGCCCTGCCCCCTCTTGTGTATTCCTGCACCTCAGGCCCATGTGTTATTATATTATCACAGAGTGTGATGGGAAGACAAAAGGGCTGTCAGAGTTGAGGGTCCTGGAGCCATGAGTGAGGGCTTCCTTCCTGGCTGAGTAAACTGACCCCTCTAGGAGAGGGACCCAGGAACAGCAGGGTTCCTGCCAAGCCCCAACTCACACCCTTTTCTGATGCTTTTCCAGCAAACTGTGGCCACAAATGTTCCCCCCGAAGATCAAGATGGCTCTGGGGATGATTCTGACAACTTTTCTGGCTCAGGTGCAGGTGAGGCTGGCATGGGGTAGGGGGACCCATTGATGGCAACAGGCTGTTTACTGAGCACTTACTGAATATAAAATACCCCTGCTGGGCCCGAAGGGCAATGATGGGGAAGAGAATGGAGTCCATACTGCAAGGAGCTTCCTGGTTGGGGAGAAAACATGCATGGGGGTGAGGTGAATGCTGAGTGTTTTGGGAGGCGCTGAGGGCTGCCTGCTGTGGACAGACTCAGGTTCATTTTCTCCTCTTTACTCAACTCACTGAGCAACCTTGGGAAACTGATTTGACTTCTTGGAGCCTCTGTTTTCTCATCTTCAAAATGGGAGTAATACCTGGACCTCATAGGTTTGTGGGGAAGGGTAAGCAAACACAGAGTCTGATGAGATGTAGATCTCTGACATATCCCCCCCACCGTTAATTTCCTATTTCCTCTTCCCCTGGGGTAGAGAGATCACTGAGCTTAGGGTGGTCAGGGAGGCCTCCCAGAGGAGGTGACTCTTGAGTTGGATCTTGGAAGATGGGCAAGAGCCAAGAACAGAGGGCCAATGTCATCTCAGTGGGGAAAGTGGCCTAAGTACAGGGGTGAGATCTGATAGAAAGGATACAGGCCTCTGGGCTTAGAAGCTTAGGCTTTTCTGGGGAGAGGACACCTGAGGCAGGGAGGGGTGCCAGAGATGTGTGTGCACGAGGGACAGGGCATTTGTAACTCTGAGGCTGCCCCCACCCAGGGAGCAGCCATCATTGGTCACAGAGAAGACTCCTTCCCTGATGGCCCTGGTGTCTTTCTAGTGATTCCAGAGACCAGGATGCCCTGGGCCCTTGCAATGGAAAAGGGCAGCTTTCCTTGTCCATCTCCAAAGTTGAGTTTTGCCTCAGCCAGTTCCATACCAGGGGATGCAGCTTCTCACAGCAGAGAGGGTTGTTCCCCTTGCCAGACTAGGGTCAGGGCCCAGGGTCCTCACCCAAGTGCCCTCCTTTACCATGCCCCCTTGACAGCCTGTGCTCAGCTAGCCTGGGTGCTCTGCTGCCTCTCTCATCCCAAAAAGTTCTGCTTTGGGCCCTGCAGGTGCTTTGCAAGATATCAGTTTGTTACATCAGACCACCTCCACCTGGAAGGACATGTGGCTCCTGACAACTGTGCCGACAGCTCCGGAGCCCACTGATGTAGAGACAGTTGCTGCCTCCATCCTACCCACTGTAGAGGAACCTGACCAGGAAGGATCAGTGCGCCTGATGGAGTTGGAGCCTGGCCTCACTGTCCAGGAGGAGACATCCCACCCACCCAGTAAGACTACACAACATCCAACCACTCACCAGGCCTCAACAGCAAGAGTCAGCACGGCCCAAGCACCAGCCACCACTGATCCCCCCAGGGACATGCAGCCTGGCCACCACAAGACCTCAGCTCCCACAGGACATGAACACTTCTACCCTCATTCTCCCAGCCAGGAAGAAGGAGGCCCTTCTGCCACTGAGAAGGCTGCTGAGGATGGAGCCTCCAGTCAGCTCCCAGTAGGAGAGGGCTCTGGGGAACAGGTGAGCACCTGCCCACTGCTATCCTCCGCCTCTCCTGGGATATGAGGTGGCCCTTAGTGCTTTGTTGAGCACAGTGTGTGTGAATGAGGGATGTAGTCATCAGGCAAGCCCAACATCCTGTGCCCTGTGAGCATATCTTAGTCCCCACCAAGAACATAAGGTCACGAGGTCTTGGCTCACCTCCTACCTCCAGGGCCTAAGCAGGCCCAGGGCCAAAAAACCCAAATTCAATCTGCTGCTGATGAGTCAATTTTGACTGATAGTGACCCTTTAGGACAGAGTAGAACCGCCCCATAGGATTTCCAATGGAAGCAAGCTGCTGTCTTTCTCCCTCAGAGCGGCTGGTGGGTTTGAACCACTGACCTTTTTGGTTAGCAGCCAAGAGCTTTAACCACTATACCATCAGGGCTCCTGATAGGCCCAAGGCAGGGCAAGACAGATTAAATATGAGAGCAGAGTGGATGAGTCCGATCTTCATTTGTTACTTTCCTTTGTCAGCTGCTATAACAAAGTACTGGGTGGCTTGAAATAACGCATTTGTTGTCTCACAGTTCTGGAGGCTAGAAGTCTGAAATCAGGGTGTCAGTAGAGCTATGTTGCTTCTGAAGGCTTTAGGGAAAGATCCTTCCTTGCCTCTTTCTAGCTCCTGGGTGCTTCCTGGCACTCCTTAACATTCCTTGGCTTGTAGCTGCATCCCTCCATCTCTGCCTTCATCTTCATGTGGCCGTCTGCCCTGTGTCTCTCCTCTTTTTACAAGGATGTTACTCAGATTAGATTAGGACTCATCTGACTCCAGTGTGATCTCATGATAACTGCTAACATCTTCAGAGACCCTATTTCCAAACAAAATCACCTTCACAAGTGCCAAGGGTCAGGACTTCAACATGTTTTGGTGGGGGGATGGGACACATAATTCAATGCATAACAGTTCCTTAAAGATCATCAGAAACACCTTCCCAAGCTTATGCAAGACCCCTGCTGCAAGAGTCAAAGTTCTACCAAGCCTTACATTTTTACTTATAGTGTCAAGGTAATTTTGCACTTTACACTAAAATAAGCCTATTTATTTTAATAAAAAATTTTTACTTTGTATCTCTTGACGTGCTTTCTCTGGCTCAGTTCAGCTAAGTTTAGTGAGATGCAGCAAGAAGCGGGGAAAAGAAGTCTTTGGGGTCTGGAAGGCTTGGGATTGTGTGCATCTGAAGGGGTAGCAATGGTGCGTGGTGAGAACTATTCTGGCTTTGGAAATGGAGCTGGCTGCTGCTGCCGGCAGGGGTCTCTGCTCCAGCCTGATCCTCTCCCTGCCGTCCCACAGGACTTCATCTTTGAAAACCCTGGGGACAACACAGTTGTGGCTGCTGTGGAGCCTGACCAGCGGAATCAGGCGCCAGTGGATCAGGGGGCCACAGGGGCCTCACAGGGCCTCCTGGACAGAAAAGAAGTTTTGGGAGGTGAGTTTTCTCTTATGTGAGTGGGGAAGGGGCTAACTGTTGCTCAGGGGCGAGGGGTAGCAGCCTTTAGCCCTGATGCAGCACCTGTCATCACCTGGGCTGACTCCTAGGGCTGCTTAGTGGGGGAGGGGCTTCTCTAAGTAACAACTGAGTTTAACCTGTCCTTTGCTTGCTTGCCTGCCCTAGGGGTCATTGCTGGAGGCCTCGTGGGGCTCATCTTTGCCGTGTGCCTGGTGGGTTTTATGCTGTACCGGATGAAGAAGAAGGACGAGGGTAGCTATTCCTTGGAGGAGCCGAAACAAGCCAATGGTGGGGCTTACCAGAAGCCCACCAAGCAGGAGGAGTTCTACGCCTGATGGGAGACAGTGATTCTCCCCCTCCCCACTGCCACTCACTAGGCCCCCACTTGCCTCTTCCGTGAAGAATTGCAGGCCTCTGCCTCCCCTGACACCGTGCTACCTCCCCAGCGCTCTGGGCCACTCTGGCCTGCCCCCTGCCCAGAGAGTCTGGGGTGTGCTTGGGAGGTCTACTCTGCTTCTCTGACTTATGCCAAAAGACTTGGGGTGTGCACAGGGGTTTTCTTGCATACGACTTTTCCACCACAGCCAGAACTTGGCATCTTACCATTCAGACTTGGTTTCTCCAAATTGGAGCAGCCCCTCTCCAAGCCCAGCCCTGGAAAGAAAGGGGACACCGCTGCTTTGGACCTGGATGGCCTGTTGTGGCTGGAATATCCTGTGGGTGAGGGCTTCTGACTGACACATCTATAGCACTTACTGGTACAGACCAACCATCTTTGGGTGCTTACCACTGAGTGGCAGGGGCAAGGAGTTCAGGACTCTCTCAGCATTCACTTTGTTTTGTGGGGAAGTCTAATTTAGATATCAACTTGTTTTTGCACATACTTCCTATAGTTTCTTTGTTTATAGCCCCAGTAGACTTTGCTACTTCTGAGGTAAGTTAAGTAAGTTGATTTGGTATTCCCCATCTTGTTTCTCTAATCTACTGTCAGGAGACAGCATCAGGGTTAAGAAGAATTTTTTTTTTTGAAACTAGGAGAACCAAATCTGGAAGCCAAAATTTAGACTGCTTGTGTGTCATTTCTGAGTTTGTCGCTCGTGTGTGCAACAGGGTGTGGAGTATCTGTTTTGTGGGCTCCATTTGTGGGCTGGCCAACTTAGGCTGCCATGGGGCAGTTGCCTCTTCTGAGTTGACAAGCCTGTGTGCATGAACTCATTCCCACAGCCGGGACCTGGGCTGCTGGGAAGTTGGAGGAGCCTGGTGTGAAAATTGGATCCTGGCAACTCAGGGCTATAATCCCGGGAGAGAACTGTGAGGTGGGAGTGGGGACAGTAGGCCCAGGGGTATCTCTGCAGACCATGCCCTTCCTCCCTTTGGGGCCATCTCTATGGGACACTTTCCTCCTGGAAATTAACAAGAGGAGTCTCAGAAACACCTGACACTGAGCTCCTCAGTGAAGGACCAGGCTTACCTTTGCTCAGCTCCTTTGGCCCTACCCTGGGCTGGAAATCAGGACTGTTTTCCAAAGAGTGATAGTCTTTTGCTTTTGCAAAACTGTACTTAATCCAATGGGTTTTTCCCTATACAGTAGATCTTCCAAATGTAATAAACTTTAATATAAAGTAGTCATGTGAACTCTAATGCCTTTGTTTCTTCTCTCTGCACTGGTTGTGTACAAGACCAGCCTTTTCTCCAACAGTATTGGGTAACTTGTCTAAAATCTCTGTGCCTTCATCTTTCCCATGGTAAGGGATTCTGGGTTCAGAGTCCCTCTGGTTTATATTTGTTTTGGCTAAAATTTTTCTAGAGGTCAGTAGGTTCAGCCAAGGTTATATAAGGCCTGATGTCAATTTCTTTGTTGCTAAGCTTGAAGCAGTCACCTTGTAAATGGCTAAAGAAGCTGGGAGGGCCTAGCAGAGCTTGACCTGAGGCTGCTGGCCCTGGCACAGGCCTAGAGCCAAGGCCAGCCTCTCAGACACATTGGGTGGGTCTGCCCTCCTCCCACACCTGATCCTTTACTGGGACCAGAGGCTCCAGCTGAGGCCTCTTAGGGATTTCAGTGCTTGCTTATTTAATTTGACAACATTCCAGCTACTTGTTGGCTACTCTGTTTAGTGGGGCCACTCTGATTCAGATGCACCGTCAAGCAATGGGAACCCATGTCCTGTATTCAATCCTGGGACTTTCTGACTGGAGCATGTGACTGGACATGAATCGGGGGGTGGGATGGGGTAGGGGTCAGTGGCAGTGCTCATCTCTGTTGTTCTAAGGGACAGCATCCACGCTGCTGGCTGGGCTCATTTGTGTAACTGTAATAAACAGTACTTGTCATTTCTGGCAACAGACACTAGTGGTGTTTGAGTCTCTTCTAGGCCTGGTGATATCCTGCCTGTGTCACCTCCTGGGGGGTGGGGGTTCGCCCTAGTCCTAGGCCACTAAATTGATGAGTGGGATTAGCGCTGGTGCCTCTGTTGGAAGGAAGAATGGGTCCAACTCAGCCCTGCTCACCCAAGCCTTATGCCTGTCCTCCCTCTCCCCTCCTTACCCTCTTACCCTCTCTCCCTGCCTTACCTGTTCCTGCCCCGCTCATCCTCCTTCCTCAGCAGGCTCTGAGCATTGCCTTCCTCAAGGACACCAATAGCTCCCAACTCTTTGCTCATTGCGTGACTCCTAAAAATTTGCTAGCCAGTAACTCAAGTGCCAGTGATCTATAAGTCAACTGTACACAGGGACAAAATACATTCAAAGATTCTGAGGTTGAAAAGCTCAGTCCAGTGCAGGAATCTGTGTGTCCTGAGGGCATAGAGCTGTCCTCCCCTTCCTCAGGTTTGTCCAGGCTAGTGACCCCAGGTGCTGAGCTGCCCATCCTCTGGCTTGTCTCCCTCTCCTGAAGCCTCTGGCATCTGACCCACTCTCTGCCCCTCAGTGCAGGCCATCCCCAGACACAGGACTTCAGGTGTGTCCTGGCAGCTCAGAGGGTAGGACCATCTCCAGGGCTGCTGACAACAGGGACTGCTAGCTCAGGGCAGCTTTTCAGGGTGGAAAATTTACTCTCCTCTGACACACTGTGCTCCAAAAAAGTTTTTGGGCTGAGAAAAAGTCCTCTAGATCATTCATTCAACAAACACTGGAAACACCAAGTGCCTATTTTCTGCTAGTCCCTGGGCTGGACCATGAGTGTACAGTTGTAGTCCTGGCCACCCTAATAGTATTTTTACTGCACTTAAACTATGGACCAAATGCTGTGCTAGACATGATACCTGGGTTATTTCATTGACGACTCACAGCTACTCAGCCATCTATGAGATGGTGTTACCATTAATTATCCTCGCTTTACAGACAAGACACTGATAAAGCGAAGAAGCCTCTTGCCCAAGATCACATGCCTTTAAGTGGTGGAGCTGGGAGATGGTCACTGGTTCCAGAACCACAATGAGCCATGCAGCACCAAGGATGGTATGGGAGCTCAGGGGAAACTTCCCTTCATATGTGACCTGCAAGGTTCCAACTTCAGTTCCCAGGCCACCTTCTCCCTTAATATCCAAACATAAACTGCGCCCCTGTCCTTCCGTTTGCTCTCTTGTTCTGAATTCTCCCACCTTCCTCTGTAGTCTTTCCCAGGGTCACCCACCAGGCATCACAAGGGCAAGGTTATGCCATAAAAAAAACTGCTGAATGTTTGAGACTAACAGTAAAAGAAGCAAAAATGTGAAGTTTGTTTAAATATCCTTCAGTTCCTGCCACAAGGAATATCTCCCTGCCAATCTCTCCTAGGCCTCAGCCTGCTGCCCTGTTTCCCACAACCTTGACCCCCTTAACCTCCCCTCTTTCTAAGACTCCTCCTGTCTCTGCTTGGGAATGGAGCAATTCATCTCCCTTACCTTTCCATTATATCCAGACTGTGTATGAGGGGCAGGGTGGGAAAAGGGCACTCACTGACTTTTGCACTGTTTTCAAATTATTTTCTAAACTAATGAGCCATCTTCTGTTAGAGTGAATATGTCATACTTTTAATTTGCAGCTGGTTTCTGTTTTAAGCTGCATTTTTGCCTTGCTTGCCTCTTGGGTTTTGCTCTAGATACCACTATGTTTTTACATCAAGAATAAAGATCTGTAGCCCTGCTCTCAGAGAGGTGATAGCTGAGGCAGGCATAGACAACTAAAAGAGCAGTTTTAATGACAAAGTGCTAGAGAAAGCACTTGAGGGAAACTGGGGGTAGCTGGCTTGGGGTCTGGATCATGATTCCAGAGGTGGTCTTTGAATTGGGTCTCAAAGGAGAAAGTCAAATTAACCTCTCAAACAAGAGAGAAGGCATTCCAGGCAGAAGGCGCAGCTAAGGCAACAATAAAGACTTAGACAGCTTTATGCTGTATGTGAAAGGAAAGCAGACCTGGGAAGGGACATGGCTGGAATGTGGCAAGGCCATGGTGGTTACAGCACCTGGGGCCTCTGAGGGCCACCAGAGGCTCCGAAGCAGTTTTCAAGAAAGGTTAGGAATTGCAGAGGGTGTGGGACCAGAGGCCCAGTGATAGTTACAACAGTTCTGAGGCTCCTTTAGAGATCCAGGAGAGGTAATGGCAGGAATGGAAAGGAGGGGATGGGCTTGAGGACTTGTAAAACTGGCAGGACCTGTGAGGTATGTCCCCACCTCACTGGGCTTCATCTTGCTCTCCCACAGGTACAGGTTCTCAGATGGAGACTGAGGGAAAAGGTGCCTGTTGTGATGAGGTTGTCCTCTGAGCTGGCAGTCAAGGGTGGGAGCAAATGGGGACAGAAAGGACAGTAGTTCCATGGCTGGGCCTCGAGGTGGGTGGTCTCACACTTCCCTCTCAGGTTGTACTGATGGTAGGCAGACTCCAAAACAACATCTGGGAGAAAAGGCTTCTTTTAAATGGATCTACTTCTTCTAAAAAATTTTTAAAGGAGACCTGGTTGGCACAAATGTTTAAGCTCTGGGCTGCTAATTGAAAGGTTGGTGGTTTGAACTCATCCAGCAGCTCTGTAGGAAAAAGACCAGGTGATCTGCTTTCTGTAAAGAAAACACTATGGTGGGGTGATTCTACCCTGTCATATGGAGTCCCTCTGAGTTGAAATCAACTCAATGGCACCCAACAAGAACAAATGGGCCTGGAGGGAACTACAGAGGTGGCTCTTACTTAGGTGCCCTGTCCACATCTGGCCCCCCTTCCTTCCAGCCTGGAAGGAGAAGGTGGGCTGGACTGCCTCAAGAGGAAGCAAGCTCTGTCCCTGGAGTTGACTGAGCAGGAGCTGGATAGGAGAGCCCCTGTCATGGAGCCTAGAGGGCTAGGGGACTGACTGCTCTGGGCCCACCTA